TAGTCGCCAATTTGAGCATATTTTATCAATATTATCAATATATTTATTTCACGTGAACCAATCCTTCACAAAAAATACTGATAGATATAGCCCTTGTATAGACTCTAGTCCGAATTCCGGTAAGTAATATATATATAATAAAATAATGTCAGGAGCAGGTAATAATGTAACTTTGTACTATTAAGCATGTCATTGGTCGGTAACAAGAGCAACTTAAATTTAAGTCTATTAAATACATCTTAGCCTATCTCAGTCCTTTGCCCACAAAAGCGGCTATAACTTTTTTTCTATTCGAAACAGTAAGAGTGGCACCTGTCTGAAATCTTTATTAAATGAACAATTTTTTTATGCAATGTAAAGTTATAGCTCAGTACATTTTTTTTTCACCAGAGATAGTCAAAGTTGGGGAAGAAAATATCAAAAAGTTAAAAATCCAGAAATAGTCCTAATTTTATGATGGTTCCTTAATATATTTTAACTACATTGCATTTGAGTATGGAGAAGCAACTATCTGGAAGTATTTTACATAAAAAATTTACTAAGTATTGCCCGGTTTGTAGTTGCAGTTAAAGAAAACACATGAAAAGGCACGATTTTTTTTAAATTNCGATTTTTTTTTAATTAAAAACATTTAAATATTTCAAAAACGGCAACACTTTTACCTGAAAATTTTTTGTTTATCAGAGAGCTCACCCCCCCACCTACCTTCCCCTAAAGTTTGGCAGGTTACCCTGTATAATTGTGTGTTAAATAAACTGATTTGACGATTCAAAAGGCATTAAAAATGTAAAAAAAAATTTCTAATCTGGTATAATCCGAATCTTGTTGCCGAGAATTCATTTATTGTTGTTGTAACTGCATACAAGTTCCCCAAAGAGTTTTTGGGAGTGATGCTGTAGTGGCTGTCCTTGGCCAGATATATGTACATATATACATCCATATTACATATTACAAACATACAGTTACTCACAGAAGTATTCGTAATTTAGTTTTTTCACAATATTCCAAATGTTGTCTATTATAAATCTTTTTCGCTAATTTTCATTTAAACAAAAACCATATAAATGATTCTTGCAAACTTTGTACATAATTCATAAAAATGAATCAAACATAAAAAAATTTTTATCAAAATTTCAAACTTTTAATTCAGAATTTTTAAAAAAAATTTTAGTATGCAGTTTTGTAGCCCTCGACAAAAAAAAATCTAAAAAATCAGCAGTAATTTTCAGCTGCTTGAAATTTAAACCGAAAATTTTTCTAAAAAATCTGAATTAAAAGTTTGAAATTTTGATGAAAATTTTTTTATGTTTGATTCATTTTTATGAATTATGTACAAAGTTTGCAATAATCATTTATATGGTTTTTGTTTAAATGAAAATTAGCGAAAAAGATTTGATTAATTTTTATGAATTTTAACAAAGTTTGCAAGAATCATTTTTATGGTTTTTGTTATAGAATGAGCTATTAAATGAAAATTAGCGAAAAATATTTATAATGGAAAACATTTGGAATTTTGTGAAAAAACTAATTTACGAATACTTCAGTGAGTGACTGTATACATATATTACATATTACATACATACATTTTTGTCGCTCCGGTTACCTAGGCCCGACTATCGTGGGAACCATTC